ATGTCTCCGCCTGTGCAGAGAGGACCCTGGGGCCCGGGGCTCATCCCGCCCACTTTGCAGGATACAAAAGAGGGGATTGGGTGTCTCCACTTGGTCATCCGCCTTTGGGTGGTCTGAAGCAATTCGCAGTTTCCCAGAGACCCTAACTTTCTCTCAGTGCATAGTTTATACAATGGAGAGGATAAACAAAAAGCTAACTGTCCGAATACTGTGACAGAAGCCCACACATTGCAGTTATTTGAAATATAGTTTTCCAGGTAAAAATGCATTTAATTTTAAAGATGCTCTGTTTTAAATGTGTAAGGATTTTAACAAAATTGAATGATGAGTTCTGAATTTTAGAACGATATAGCTTCCTGGGCATATTTTACACTTTAAGAAATTTATGAAAAGTATAGTAATGATTTATTTTGTAATTAAAACACACATTTGCTGTTATGCAATTTCAATTACACTCTAATTTTACCTCACTCCTTGTAGGACGTTTAACTCAAATTGGGTTAGTTAAGGGTTTAAAAGTATTTGTAAGAGATTATGTTTTTAAGTAGGGTTTGTGGAGTTTGAAGGTAAATTCAAAATTATCCTCAAATATCTGTAATGTGTATGTAGATCTTAATTTCAAATCTTAAAGCAAAGATCTCAGTCTTTAGCTGACTTTCAAAGCATTTCCTGAGTAGATTATGTTGTATGTTAGTGAAATCAGTGTGTAAGTGTTTCCTTTGTTAAAACATCTCCGTTTTCCCTCCACGCAGTGAGCATGGCCACCAGCAGGCTGATAGGTGCTGTGGCGGGCACCATTCTGGCCCTGGGGGTGATTTTTGGAGGCACAGGGTGGGGAATAGAGTAAGCATCATTGTGAGTTTCAGAGTGTTTGTTTGGGTCCTGGGGTGTGAGCTGACCCCTGGCACCTGACCCCCGTGTCTTGTCTCATTGACCTGTTTCCTGTGGTCGCGCAACTTGTGGTGTGATTTGGGTGTGTTTGTGTCGCGTGGTCTGCTTGTGCAGTGTGGAGCCTTCTCCTGTCTGGAACAATGTGGGGCATAAAATAAGGCTGGGGTGCTTGCGGGGTCTTCACAATGAAGGCAACAGGCCAAATCTTCCTTTGTTCCTCCACTTGCAAAAGTAATTTTAGCTACAGATCTTTTTTTTTTTTTTTACTATTGGCAAAAATTCTTTTATAGAAGTGTTTTCTTAAGATTCTTATAGTGAATTTAATCTTCACTGGTCAAATAGACCCACATACACACTAGGCATTATCAACAGTGGTAGCTCCTTTTAAAGATAATCCAAATGATAGTCGTTTTCTCCATTTATTGAGTGATACAGGAGGCTTCAGCTTAGGTTTTTTTTAAAAAAGGAAGACATTTTGGATACTGCCTTTATTTTTTTCTTATAAAATAGTTAATAATTCAAATTTGAGGGGCTGGCCCCATGATGCAGTGGTTAAGTTCATGCACTCTGCTTTGGCAGCCTGGGTTTGCAGGTTCAGATCCCAGGCGCGGACCTACACCACTCGTCAGCCATGCTGTGGCGAAGTCCCACATACAAAGTGGAGGAAGATTGGCACAGATGTTAGCCCAGGGCTAATCTTCCTCAGTAAAAAATAATAATAATTCAAATTTGAAGTTTACATAAATATTTGGGAGCAAGGAGCATTAAGAATAAAAAGACATTTAATCCAAACCTTCAGAACCGTCAGTGAACAGTTGCAAATTATCTGGCGTGTTTGCCTTAAGAGTAACCAGTGTATGAATAGATGCATTTTATGCCACTTGCCTCTTACAGAAACGCAGCTCTCCTGGTGCCTTTACTCAGGTTGCTCTGTTCTGGATCCACCACCTCAGAGTAGCTGTCAGTTCTCCACGCGATGTTGCTTTTTTGAAATCGCTAATCTGTAGACTCCTGAGTTTTTCCCTCTCTCTAGTGAGGGCATTTACAAATGACAGAAACACCCCTTCACGTGCTGTCGTTTCCGTTCTCTGTGGTGGTAACACTCACAGTGGCCCGGGAATGAATTACTACTATCTTAAGGAGTCACCAGATACCGTCTCCTCAAGCAGCCCAAACGCGGCATGTCGCTGCCGGCACACACGTTCCTCCTCAGCCTCCAGGGCGGCAGCACACAGGTGCTCTCCTTGGTTCTGGGTCGGGGAGACCCAGGCACCGAAATCGCATTGAGAGGGCCGCAGGGCTGTGGGTCACACTGGGATCGAAGACGGCCTGGACCTTCTGTCCCTGGAGTGAAGCGATTCGGCTAGACTTGGGTCTTCTAACTCACATCCCGTCAGGATGGACTGTGAAGCCGCTTAGCCCAGGGGAAGCTAGAAATACTGCGAAAGCTATTTGTTTTTAACAGATGTTTAGATATTTAACAAATATTTAGAGAAAACAAGAACTTTGTCCTGTAAAATTTCACCTTGGGTCTGTTGACTGGATTATATACAGAAGTAAGATTCCTTTTCCAGGGGAAATGCTATATATACATTTATGAAGTTCCTCCTTGAAGATAGTTTTCTAAAAATCATCCCAGTTCCGTTTTTATATTATTATTTGGCCGTAACTGTGGTGTGCTGCCATGTACCAACTGAAGGGACGAATTTGAGTGGTTTCCCCTGCGAGTCGGGGTGGCATGCAAAGCCACGGCCCCTCTGGGGAAGCGTCGTCCCTGTTCCCAGCGTTCCTTGTCGTCCCTCCCTCCCAGCATTGCTGGTTTGTGGCTATTTCTGGTTGTGACAGGTAAGTCCGTGTGAGCGTATATATATTTTTTCTAAAAATAGATTTGTTATTTATTATTCCTGGTTTATGCACTGTTTTTGTCTATTAGTTTACTGACTTTTCTCCTTCAAATTCCAAATTTTGCCATAATTGCTAAATATAGTTTTTTTAAAAATAGAATCCACATAGTATAATATAGATCATTGTAGCACTTCCTCGTTTAACTGATAGTGTGATGTTCATCTAGCCGCTAAGGATTCCACAGACAGAGGTTGTTTTTCTTGTTTTGTTCTGTTTTGTTTGTTTGGCTTTTATTTCTCATTAGTTTATAATTGCAAATCAGGAATCATTTCTCATGGATTATGTATTGACTCGAATCCCAACCTGTGTTTTCTGAGCTAGCAGAGTGCAAATCGTGTCAAAGCACAGAGTCTGTACATGGCGATAGAAATACATTTTAAGTGTTTGTTTCAAAATTGTATTCCCTATAAAACTGTGGGGAGGAAGTACATAGAAATGGAATCCCGTTACATTAGAGCAGCTGGAGGACTCTCTGTGAAGGGCCAGATGGTAAATGGTGTGGCCCTGCAGGTCACCAGAGGCCTGTCACGACCTTGCGTGAAAGCAGCTGTAAACAGCATGTAAATGAATGAGTGTCGGGGTGCTCCAGGAGCATTGCTTTGCAAAACAGGCAGTGGGGCCAGCCTCGGCCTGTGGGCTCTAGTCTGCTGACCCGTGATTAACAGCACAAGCTTAGAGTCAGACGAAGCTATGTTCAAATCTGCCTCTGTCTCTAAGGAAGCTTCAGAAGCCTCTATTTCTTCACTTGGTGAACAGGGAGAGTCATGGTTCCTACGGCGTCTGGCGTTTGTGAGGATCAAGTGAGCTAATACTTGTCGCGTGCTTAGCACTGCACCTGGCATGTGGGACGTGCTCAATCTACAGTGCCCAGCCTGCTGTTGTTGTGGATCATGGTGTGTCTCTAAAGCCACGAGAGTTGGGCTCTGTGAACCTCAGTGGTTAGTCCACGCCCAGGGGCCTGAAGAGACTACATCGCGGACCCCACTCTGCACCCACGCCCACGGCGCTGGGTGGTCTCTGAGCAAACCACATGCCGCAGACGATTACAGTGCTGCTGGAAGTGGCATCCATTTATGTACGCAGCCGAGGGCACTGATGTGAGCAGAAAAGAGAATTTTTTACACAGAAATGAATGTATACACAAACCCGAGAATTTTAAGGGAACTACCAAAATTGGCCTTGTGACTCGTGGAACAGGGATGTATAGTTAGGAGTAAAGTATTTTGCTGTGAGGGCACTGTACCTGCATATTAGCATCCTGAGGAATGCGATATTTAAGATGATTCTTGTATTAAGTTAATGTTGCTTACATTTAAAAATAGTGAGCTAAGGTGTTTTCCATGTGCGTGGAGAGGATGTCCTGTGACACGTGTCAGCTCTTAAACAATTGACAGAAACTCCACTTTGTGTTTTCTTCCTGGCTGTCCTTCCTGCTCCCTTCTTTCCTCCTACCTCCAAGCCTCAAATTTCAAATGGGGATGTGAAAGATGGTTTCAGTTGAGCCTAAGGAATCTTTTTTCCATTTGCTCAAAATTACCCAACTGAGTTTTATGCTTCCTTTATATCTCGCCTTTGGACCCCCATGTGGCTGCTTAAACACCGTACAGGTCCTTTGAGAAATCTGTCTATCTTTGAGATAGAACATCTGTCTTTGAGAGGAAAGCTTCAAAAGTCAGATGTTTATTGGTAACCTCCTTCTGACTTCTAAATTTTAATGGTCTCCAACGGGGGCATAAAAAATTTAGCGTTCACCCAACTTCGTGTGCTGTTTGGAAGAGCTCTTGAGCAGCTCGTGATTCCTTCTTTTCGTGCCCTCGTTTGCCAGTCAGATTGAACTAAGTCTGAGGCAGCTGTGTCTTTACGCGCTCTTTTCCTTGTTCGATTCGTGATGCTGGGAAAGGGGAGGAGGAGAAGACGGGCCATGACAGCGGTGGGGGCATATTTGCTTTGAGTTCTGCAGAAGGTGAATGTACTAGAACCTAACTGTCGATGGTGCAGAACTGTAGATTTAAGGGCATACAGGTCCCAGCAGCCGCTGTCCACAGCATTTAAAGCACGATTGAGCTAATCGAAAAAGGTGACGTAAGTGTTCAGCGATCTGTTACTCGGGGTGTTTACTTCCTGAAACCGCTTGTCTGCCTTTCCCTTGTGCTGATGAAGATGGTTGGCTCATACAACTTTCTTCCCATGATCCTTTGTCACAGGTCCTAGTGCCACCAATCTCATAATAGGCTCCATCGCTGGTGCCATCCTGGTAGCAGCTATTGTCCTTGGGGGCACAGGATGGGGATTTAAGTAAGCAACGCCGCATGTCTTCTCCGTGGCTCTGGCACTTCTCTTTTCTGCTTACATAACCGAGTTTTGAGTTCCTGCTACAAGATTTCAAGTTTTAACAGTAAAAATGCTAAAAATAAATATTTTTATTCAAAACTGGGTCAGAAAAGGAGAAACGTGGAGCCTCAAATGCCATCCTCAGGCAAGTAGGAAAACATGAAATGTGGAAGGAGTTCACTTGTACTACTTTAAGGAGAATGAGGTAGAAGTCCTTCAGGAGAAGATGCTCTAGCTTTTAGGAGCAAGCGTTCTGAGACACATTTGTTTCTACACGGATAACTGAGGAAAATACGTAGTTGGAAATGGGTAGATATAAATTCCTTCTGTCTGTTTAAAACTGGTTTATATTCCATTGACATTTTGAAAATTTCACAACCTGAGTAACCGTTTGATCATTGTTTTTCACATGTAACATAATATCTGTAGCTTTGTGATTTGAAAAGCTTCATTATTTTATAAAAACAAACTAAAAAAATATTTTCATTAATGCCATAACCTACTGAATTCATTTCACTTTGGAGTTTGAAATCTGGCTTTGTCACACTTGATATTTTCTAATTAACTGTTAGTATTCACAGGTTTGCCTGGTGTTTTCGTTATGACCTTTTAGTTTGCAGCATACGTTGATCACCAAACTAAGTTTGTTTAAATAGACAAGCCAGATAATCACAAACAAACCTTAATTATGGTGAAAATTTTTAAACCTGATTTATCTAGTTTGGTTGTTTCCATACCTCGGATTCGCTGGATAATTGGTTTTTGTGTCTTTTCCTGCTGTAATGACTTGATGATTATGATTTGCAGAGAAGACACGCTGTTCCAGATACTCCCCATGATAAACTCAGCTTCAACCAGATCTACAGAAACAAATTTAAATGGGAAATAAGACCATCACCCAAATTCAAAACCCACTTTGCCTCCATCTGGTTATTCAATAGAGGAAGTTTTTGGCCTGAATTATCTAATTGCCTTAATTATGAACTTTGTTTTATTTTATATTTCGGATCCTGTATTCATTATATCTAAACCAGCTAAAATGTTATTATTAGAAGCTGATTATGAAAGAAAAACAAGCCAGAAAATGATTTAAATAAATTCAATGTGTTCTGCTAATTTTGTTGTCAATATTTAATGAGTAAGCCTACAAGTTTCTGAGTGGCTTCAACTTGGAAAGGTGTTATCAAAAGGTGCTTCTTTTCTACAGACATTTATAAACTCACACTTGTTTGGTGAAATGGTAATTTTGGCATCAGTGTGTTTTCAAAAACACACACACACACTGGGCTGCTCACATTGGCATTTCTTGTTATGGCATTCGCAAGACATCACTCAGATAATGAGTCACTTATGTGGTACCTGAGGAAAGACACGCTTTATCTGGGCGGGCCCTATCCCAGTGGAAGCTTTTCTCAGTTCCTCATTACCACGTCATGGTAGTTCCATGATCTGTTATTGTGGTATAATGCTCCCTGGAACTTTTTCATGAATATGCCTCAAGAAAAATAAATTTGGCTCCTGCCCAGGCTTATGCCTCCTTGGCATTAGGAAACCTCCTTTTCAAAGGCCTGAAAAATAGTCTACTGTGCATCTTGGCCCCCCAGCAAACTGCAGTGACAAATTTACCGTGGCAGCATTTGGAGATGAGAGCGCTATTCTGTAGCAGGACCTCAAAACAGTGGCCTCGCCTAGCTCACAGCTTGAATTGCATGTTTCTTTGGGGAAAAACGGAACAGGCTTTATCACTGTGTATATAAGTGGATCAGGCCGTACAGATTCTATCTGAGAGAGATGTCTAGTCATCAGAAGAATAGAAAAAAAGACGTGGGAGACAGACACAGTGAGGGGAGAAACAGCCTCTGTGGGGACTGTCGTGCGGGCATGAGTCCCGCTGAGCTGTCGGCCCCCTCCCATGCCCTATGGCCCTAATCATTACCCTAATGGAAAACCTCGCAGAAGGCACACAGGAGTGTGAAATAAATATTTTTATGTCCTGAAACAAAAAAGGAAGGCAAGATCTTGGACATGTAACTTTAGCAGTTTCAATTTGAGAAGCTGCTGCTCTGGGTGCTAACCAAGAGGGTTTTAATTTACTTTAGATTTTAACATTAGCAATGTGGTTTGTATTAAACATTAAGTAACTCCTTCTGCCTTGCAAGAAAAGGCTTTGAATGCTGGATGAGAAAGTCTAGATTTTCCCACCACTTGGAGTTTTGGAGATTATGAGTCTAGAGATGATTTGGAAGGGCAATTATTTGCTAATTGAGATGACACTGAGTTTTTCGTTGAGTTCGATGTAGCTACAAGAGAGTTTCCTTTAGAATCAGAAATTGAAAATAGTTTGTAAAAAAGATTGCTCTAAATACCTTTATTGGAAATCCCTCCTGAAATCAGGCTTTTATTACTAGAAGAGAAATTAGCAAAGTAGCCTGAAGAATTTGAGGGTACATAAACTTTTAGACTAAAGGAAAGTCTATTAACTTCCCCAGGGGAGTACTGCTTTCTCCTAACGTCACGTTTCTTCAGGTGTCACACTGAGTAGTTTAGATGTGGAAGAAGCGTCATACCATACGTGACCTGTCGGAGTGTAAATGGGAAGTACAGCTGTGCTCTGACCCCGGACCTTGTCTGCCATTCTTTATAGTTCTTTTCTTAAACTGCATTTCCTCTGAAATAGGTGGTAAAAGCATAAGCATATGTGAGTGTGCATGTGTGTGTGAATGTGTGCACGTCTGTGTGTGTGAAGTGATGATAAAGATTTATCAAGATTGTCATCAAAAAATAATATACATTTAGATTACTTCTTTTTAGCAGAGTAGTAGAGTCTGAACGCTTTGGTTAATGCAGACAAGACTTCCGTAAGCCAGGTTGGGGAAATCCTGAGAAGACAAAAACGCTTTATTTGGTAGGTTATTTGTTTTAACAAATTCTGATCTCTTGGGTCATGTGGTGGGTACACCTGAGTGACTTCAGTTAACCCGACATTCCACAACTATGAGGATCCTAAGGGATGATTTAGTCTATAGATGCCCATTCTTTAGGGTCTTAGGGCTTTTCTCTGAGCAGTCCAGGGAAGCATACACATCGGCCCTTGCCACCCCGGCGGGCCCACCTTTTCCGGATGTCTGCGTCTGTTTACACGCACCCCGCGCTCCTTCTCCTCTGCATTGCCACTTGCAGGACAGAGCCCTGCGTTGCGGTGCAGAGGGCTGCAGCCTCCCTGCGGGTTGATGTGGTGACTCATGGCCTCTGTCCAGTGTTGAGTGATAATGCTACTCGACTGGATTATTAGAGCTGTTGCTTTAGTAGACATAGAGAAAAATCAAGTAGATTGAAAGATCGTTTAGTAGCATCTTCCCACAGCTTACAAAAGGTGACAAATGTATAAAAAGAGAACTTCCTATCTCCATTTAAAAATGAACAGAATTGCTGTCATTACCTTGGACGTGGCTTTTTATCTGGCATTCCCTAGATTTGAATGCAGGACTTAAGATGTGAGCAGTATAGTCATTTACATGCACATGAAAGTATATCAACACCATAGGTGATGGCAGCAGGAAAGAAAAATTCTAGGTGATGGTAGGAAAAGAACTTGAAAGTGACAGTGACATAGTTGGTCGACAATTCAGATCACAAGATTTCGGACGATTATTGCATTCTTCCACCCATTTCATAATGTCTCCGGCTGTGGGCCCCCATTGCCACGCCCCACCACCCCACCACCCCACCACCCCACCACTCGCTCTCTCCGTGGGATTCGGTGGCAGTAGTGGCCGTACTGCCCTGGCAGAACTGCTCCCGACATTAAAGGTGTTGGTTTAATAAGTCTGTGTAATTATCATATATAGTTTCCTCTCTATCAGAAGTAACTTGGGTTACAAGTTCTTATTGAACCTGACTTTGGCTCTGAGAGATTCAGTTTGGCCTGTGTTCCGTTTGGTTGAACAGCGTAAAGAAAAGACTAAAAGAAAAGGTACTTGCATAAGTGAAATTTAAAGAACCATGTCTGGATTACCACAAGGAGAGTTAACTGAATTGTTTGAAGGTCAAGTTGGATGAAATTTGAAAGGAACTTAATATTGCTAATTATATTTTCTCAAAAGAGGAAATGTCTCTCTTTTTTCTCTTGGCTTTTGATTTTTGCAGAATTAGGAGATGGAATCAGTTCTAGCTGGTCTTTCTGTGAGGAGGATAACCAGACTGTAGCTTATCTGATCCCAGGACCATGTCCCGGTGTCTGTTAAGGAGCCTGGTCTCCCTGGTACCTGTCACTCCTGGGCGAGGCACATTCTCACTCAGACCTAGGGGGTCGTAGTCGTGCCAGGTTGGCCAGGAAGACCCAGTACAGTCCCCGGACCCCCTGGGGAAGTGGACTCAATCTGAGGTGGCCTAGGAGGAGTTGGGCGAGGGCTCCTTGGTCGGGGGGCAGTGACTTTTGGTGGAAAGATAAAGAGGTGATAGTGGTGGATAAGTACATACCTGTGAAAACAGATCTGAAGGCTTTACAACTCCAAGATGGTTACAGTCACCTGGAGAGCTTGGTTTTAATTCTGTGTAGATGTGTGTATAGTATAATATATATTGTAGACAAGGGTACAGGTTTTTTCAGAAGTAGTAAAAATTGGTGAAAACTGGGTCCATGCAAGGTTTATGGATTATGCTACTATATTATAATGATCCAAAAATACTTCATAGGTTTTGATGAGAAAGGTAACTGTCTGCAGAGTCCCGGGGGCAGAGGGTTTTCAGAGGAGACAGCTGTGGAGGGAAAGCTGCAGGCACCTGGCTGTGAGAGTTGTGCTTTCACATTCACATAGAACGAGACTTCTTTTCATAGAGAAAGCTCAGAACAGGCAGTTCTCAACACGCAGTGGCCCCTAGCAGTTCTGCAGTTTACACTGAGGAGCCTTGAAGTCACCCTGCGCGGGGGTGTCTCTGTCTGTCCTCACCATGGGGCTCCACACCGCCCCGCTGGGATCAGTGGAGGAAACAGGGTCCTGGAATCCCTGTAGATATTCAGGGTCCCTTTCCCCATAGAAAGGCATGATTCTACAGGGTGGCCTGGCCTCCTGGTCTAACCAGGGAGCCCAGTAACCCTGGACAACATTGTTTTTTATAAAAAAGTGCAACCTAAGCTTCAAAAACTGACTTTTAAATGGAGCAGAAACTTTTGGACACTGGAGGTTGCCTGGATACCAGGCTGAGATGGAATTTCATATCTCCATTTGAAAATGAACTGGATTGCCGTTGTGACCGTGGACATGGCTGTTAGCCGACTCCCTGAATTTGAATAAAGGAATTTTGATGTGGGCCATATAGTCGTGTACATGCACAGCGCTAGCTAGTGAGGTCTTTCCTCAACGTTCATTTTCTTTGAGGAGACGTCAGTTTAACACTTCCCTGGAGTTCCAGCCACACACCGCTGTGTTGTCTGGGTCCCTGGTCCTTCAGGGTCATCTCACAAGGTCAAGCAGTCCCTGTTTCTCCCCACCTGCCTCACAGGAAGTGTGGTTCCTCCTCCATGGACCTTCCAGGGCTGTGAGCATGGGTAGAGACGCAGACCCTGTGCTCCCAAGTGACAGACACATGCTGGGAGGTCCCTCTTGCTGCTGCCTGTTTCCTGGGCAGGTCCACAACACCTGCTTTCAAGAATGTAGATTCTGAGGGGCGGGGGTGGTGAGGAAAAGGCGGCACTGTGGTAAACAGCTTTTGCTGCCGAAGATTGCCTGCCAGGCCAGTGGCCACATGCTTGGGCCATGACTGAAAACATTAGCAAAAAGGAGGTTTTCTTTAAAGAGTTTTCTATTTGATATTTCAAAAGAGAAGCATCAAAGTGGTCGTCTTGGGTGAAATAAGAACTTTGCAGGGTGTCTTTTTATATACTTCAAGCTCTCGTGTTGTTCTTATCTTGAATGAGCTCCGGCAGAAGAGGAGTGTCCTGTGACCCTCTGGCTCTTAGGGCTATGAGGGTATCCAGCTGGCCCTGAGTGGGTGGGCAGGGGAGTGAGGGGTCCTGGGGACTCCTTGGTCCCAGTTTGCATGACGCCTCGGTGGCAGCTGTGCTGCACCCGCCCGGTGCGCAGACCAAGTGCATGAGCCTCTTGCTTGATGCCCCACATGAAGCCAGACCATGGGGAGGTTGCAACCAACTTTTGTTGTTGCCTTGTGGTGTCTTGCTGGTTCTTTCTTTTCTCCTTTTAAACATAGGAACCACTTTTTAGGAGACTGGACACTGTGAGCAAGGCATTGTAACTCGCTTATTTCAACTAAGCTGAACTGCTGCATTTGCTTAACTAACCCGAGCCCGTGTCCATTCTCCTTGGAGTGTGCTGTCTCACTGTGCACTCTGGTTTCCGCCCTTTGCATATGAACGTGCTTGTTCCATAGCAGGGTAAGAGCTCACACCCCAGGGCAGCCGGAGAACAGCAGACAGGGCTTTCTGCCTCCAGGGCAAAGGCCAGGCCACTGACACAGAGCTCTCGACTTCTGGAAGGAAGTATCCACAAGACCTTCCGAGCTTTGCTTAGTTCTCCTAATAGCCCGCCCAGTGGAAGAGCCCTGTAATAATTCTCGTCTAGTCAAAATTAGCTGTGGCATCTACTTCTGAATCAAGAGACAAATTGGGCTGCTGAGGCTGCCAGTGCTTTAAAATGAACAACTTGAAGCTTGTTTAGGGTCTTCACAAATGGGGCTCCTCTTGCGGAGATGTGAGGACGCTCGAAACTGCAGGCTGTTCTGCGCTTCAGTTTCACGTTCTTTTGGAAAATCTGCGTTGGTGTGAGCTGATTACCGTGCTCTGGAGCTAGCCTTGTCGTCATTGCATCATCCCCTCATCATCGTCTGATTAATATTGTGGATTTCTCCCCTCTGTTGCATCCTTTTCTGACGCACTCTGGAAGAAATGTCAAGAAGAGGAGATTCGATCCCACCCAGCAAGGCCCCATCTGAAGCGGCGGCCCTGGATGACCGGCACCTTGCACGGTGGCGCTCTGGGTGTGACACACTTGCAGCCACGTTGCCGGAACTGTTAAGTCTGTAAATGGGAACAATGGGTGGTAATGACTACAGAACTAAAGTTGGGGCGACAGGGATGGGGTAAAAGAAAACTCTGCTTTTTGGAAATAATTTCAGAGAGCCCCTCCCCCCACCTGTCAATCAAAAGGGGCAAAAGACAATGTTATAAAAAGAACTATTTCAGAATCTTTTTTTTTCTAGCTAAAGGAAGAAGGAACAACAAAAAATTAAGTGCAATAAAAGGACCATTAAAAAATAGCAAATGATTTTTTTCTGTCCTCAGCCTGCTGGCACTTAATATCTTCTAAATGATTTGGCATGATTTTGTTTTTCCTTTTCCGACCAATGACACACTCCAGTGGCATGAAGATCTAATTTTCGAAAGGGTAAAAACTGCATGGCATACATCCTACAGCAGCTAGCAAGCCAGTCCACAGCAAAACCTGCACCTGACCCTCCCCTCTGTGAAGGGAAAGAAGAGCAGGGGAGCCGCCCACCCCGGTCTGGACCGGCCCGAGGAGCACACGGCCCTGCTCTGGTTGACTCACTCTCCGGTGTTTTCTCTCCTGGACTGAGCATCCTTTGGAAATGGGAGCTGGAATATGAACAATGATGCTACTGTATAGTTCTTTTATAAATGTAAATATGGAAATAAGCGATTTTGACACCTCATTTTCACTTGTCTGTATTGAAATATTCCCCCTGTAAAGGTGCCCTGTAAATCCGAGTTTACCGGTTGGCTCCCCATCCTTTTGGTTTCTTTTCTCTGTTTCTGCTCTGTCTGTCCTTCTCTGTTGTAACATGTTGTACGATGATTGTTGGGTTTGCTTAAAAAAGACATGTAGCCACTGATGCAGGGAGTTTGGACACAAAACAGGTGCAATTTAAAAATGAAATGCTTGAATCCAAAAAGAAATGAAAGGTGGGGGGACACAAACAACAAAATAACCCAAATTAAAACCACAGAACTTGTGTAAATGCAAATACACGCCCTGACAAGCCCCTCAAGTTTTGCTGTCATTAGAAGTGTGTGTGTGCGGCGTGAGAACGGAGACACCCTCAAATCACTCACAGAAGTGCCAACCTCATGAGGCTCGTTTTTGATTTTGACAATTTTCTTTCCCTGTCATTAATGTGAAAGGAGGAGAAACTTAAAGCCTTAAATAAAAAAATAATTTTTAAATGTTGAAAGGTTGGGGGAAAAGTTAAGCTTCCCATTTTATTCATATCTATTATTGTCAATATTTCATCCCTGCTTCATCTTCCTGCCTCAAAACACGTCTGGTAGAGCCGCACTGTAAAACCGCGCTGGCACCGGGAGCGGCCGTCGCCTTCTGCGAGCATCGTGACAATAGGTTTTAATTCTGTGTGTTGTTTTCAGAAAACCTGGCTTGGCCCGCACTGTGTTGCTGGTCCGTGCACTGCTGCCCTGGGTTCTAAGGGGATTCCACTGTCTACAAACCCCCTTCTCCCTCCTCCAGGCAGATTTGCTGGTGGAATCCGGGTCCCCAAGTCCCTCTCAGTTTACTTCACTTTCACTGACTTCTTCCATTTATGGTCAAGAGAGCTTCTGTTCAAGTGTTAAGGGAATACTTGAATGAAGAAATTTGGTCCCAGCTGTGTTTGGAATGTGCAGACTGCAGTGAACCCCTGCAGGGGCAGCCGTCTGGAGCTGAGCCTGCCTGCAGCCCCCCGGGAGCCCGTGCTTCTCTAAGCCCCTCTTTTTTAGGAACAGGACATGCGATCTACTACTCCCTTCTCCTTGACAGCCAAATCCGTTGCTAGGTTTAGCTTTAAGACCCTTTTCAGCAAGATTCACGCCACTCGTTTCACAGCATTTGCTTTGACTTTGCAAAGGATTATGTCCTAAAAATGTGCTGCTTGAAACAGTGGGATTTTCCCCCAGATATCTTTAATTGTGGAAGTGTCACAACCATAGAGCGAACCCTTGATTTCTATGTAACACAACAGGCTGTAACCTAACATCTTCGACCTGTTATTGCTGTCTGAGTGCCAGGTGCTACACAGGCGTGCAGGCATTCTCGGGAACTGGCTGTGTGCGTTGACTGTAGTAACAGGGCTGTCTGCATGGTTTATCAGCCTTGCTCTTGGTTTCATGGGGCAAGGTGTATCCCTCTACCTGTGGCAGTGGCTCTTCCAGCTGGAGGAGACTCAGATGGCTCGGCATCTTCCTGTCACTGCATCGGCTGTGTCTGTCTGTGGCTGGGTCCTCCTCGCCGGCGGATACCCAGCCGCTGCTGAGTACGCCATACATGTCCACTGCTGTTCCAGAGGCACCACGGCAACTGAACAGACACAAACCCACGGTGGTTACAAAACAAGTTAAATGTCTGTTGTTGACTTTCGAGCATTTCACAAACAACATTGTAAATGTGCGATGTTATGTTTTAAATCCGACCACAGTGGTCCCCAATACTATGTACATATGGCAAACGTCCAGTGTAACTTTTTGTCACACTGGCAGTTTCATAGGTAACCAAACCTGTGCTCCAATGTTAAATTATTTGTGTGTATCTGTAAAAACCACAAGCTTTAAGCTGTGTGCGCGAATAGGAAAGGTGCTGCCACCATACAGCCGTCAGCAATGGCTTAGGATGGTTTGAGGTGGTTTGAGGTCAGCTATTTTCAGACTGCTGTGTTTTCTCTTGCACGTGCTATTCATTTGCTGATTTTTGTGCTGTGAATACTCCCTTTTATTAATTTGAGCTCAAAGCCGAGCATCTCGCTGTTTAATGTCCCCCGACGAGAGTTGGTGTGAAGTGACCACAAGCCCCCATTTCACCTGCTGTACTTTTGGCGCATTAATCAGCGACACCTGGACGAGGAGACCTGCGCTCACTTCATTGCTCACCTGGGATCCTGCATGAGCCCACTGGATGAGAGCTACTCCTTCTAGATAAACGAGCAGTACACATAGGTGCATGTTATGAAACACGATCACGTACAGCTGTGGAGTTTTACTGAGTGGTAGGTGTGTTTTTTGTTTTTGTTTTTCTTTTTTACTATGCAAAGGTGGGAAATGCACAAACTTTTCAAAGACTAGTGTCTGAAGAATTTTACAAACAATACTTGAATCTTTTCTTTAAGGTCATCCCATCATATTTTATAGTAATTGTTGCTTCCATTGTTAATTTTCATTTTTAAATGGTTTGTAGTTTAAGTGCACAACCTGAAGTTTTGTTTGAAGTTAATAAATTCATCCATATCTTGTTGGCTGCCTGTGAGCGGAGGTTCAGTAGTCATTGTATGCATCTTTTAGTCAAGTGTATATTAAAACTTTTGTTAACGTAGAATGTTGTAGCTTTATACTTTGATCATTTTTCTTCAACCCTCTTTCTGTGTCCTCCCGTCTGGTTAAGTGGCCGTGCATCTGATATCATCAAGAGTTTTAGCACCGGTCTCTCGATCAAAGGCTCACTCAAAATTTAATGTCAATGGAGCAAAATAAAATCTCTGATGAATGATAAATATACTCCTGATTAGGATTCAGTTTCATGGGATTTATTGGAAATGCTTTGCTTTTTATAAATCAGGGGAAAAAAACACCTTAGGATCATACCACTGTCAATTTTTTTTCTTTAGCGTCTCTTCTGAGTTTAAAGAGGAAATGACTAGTGGTAACATCCACACTTTTGAGCTGGTACCTAATTTACAATCAGGCTATGAAGGAAATGGAAGTATTTGGTTATATAAACCGTGCTATCAAAACATTCGAAGGGAAGTATTTCCTCACACCTCACGTGGACTTGGGCATCAACTAATATTCCTCATCAGGAGTGTGTCTCAGTGTCTCCCCTTGCCCACAGCCTTGCCTTGGTTTGGCCTCAGCAGCTGGGTGTGTCTCACTGTATCTGTGGTACCGACACAGAGAGAGGCCAGTCTGACACGTCATTCCTCGGGTGGCAGTTTGCAGGGCCCTCCTTTCCTGTAGGATAAAGTCCAAACTTAACAGCATGAGCGAAAGTTCCCCTCAAAGAGCCTCTTCTTCCCAGGTCTGAAGAATCTTATGTAAATTTTATGTCCGGTCACCATAATTCATTTGTTTCCGTGTCATTTCGTGTAATAAAAGAAATACAGAAACAATAACATGAATATGATGCTTTAAATAAGAAAGCATATTAAAGTGTCATTTATATTGGACTCTAAAGGGATGATCTGATTTTTTTGATATGTTTTCCTGTAAGCCATTCTCTTTTTGAGGTTAACCTTGAAGTAAGTTCCTTGCTCCCCTGGTAGCTGACTGAGAACAGAGACCCAGAAACCAGAGACTCCCTAGGTAACAGAGCTGCAGCCCTGCAGTTGAATTGGACGTGAATCATCCTGTAGATAATCTATCTGCTCACGTGGAATTCCTAGGTGACTCTGACATTTAAGATAGGCACCCTTGAGGTTAAGGTACCAGGGTTAGAGACTTCTGCTCATTAGTTTATTCACTCAACAAATATTTGTTCAGCCTCTATGCTAGGAACAACTCCTGGCAATTGAAGGAACAGAAGACAATTCTTGGCCTAATGCTCACAGTCTGGCAGGGAGAGACACTCATTTAAAACAAAACCAAAGCCCTGTGAGCCCAAGGTGGTGAGTCAACCATGTGCTAGGAGCGCAAAGAGAAGTGGTTTGGGGCAGGCGGGAGAGGGATGCAGGAAGTCTTCCCGAAAGAAGTTGTTCTTTCTTTTAATTGAAGTACAATTGACATACAATGTGCTGTTAGTTTCAAGTGTACATCATAGTGACTCAGTATTTATATACATTATGAGATGATCATCACGATAAGTCTAGTTGCCATCAGTCACCAGAACAAGTTACTGCAGCATTATTGACTATACTGCCCATGCTGTACATTCCAAACGAGGTGTTTTGAGCTATCGTGAAAGATGACAGCAAAGACAGGCTCACCAGTCTGATAAAGTGGGAAACACACTCAGGGCACAGGGGGCGACCTGTTCCAAGACCAGGAAGAGGAGCTCAGACCCCTGGGGTAAGTAGTGCTAAGTGTCTGACTCATCTGGCCTGTGTTTCCTTCCATCCACTTCCTCGCCCTCCCCCCCCCCCGCTTCTTTCTTTTTTTCCTTCGTACCTTTCACAAACACTTGATCTATAAAAATCCTACGGTACTGTGCCGGGTCTCAAGGTCTCAATGACTCTCAGCTCTCAATCTTTGAGCAAGATGCAACATTTTTTTTTTAAGATTTTATTTTTCCTTTTTCTCCCCAAAGCACCCCCGGTCCATAGTTGTATATTTTCAGTTGTGGGACACCACCTCAACGTGGCCTGAGGAGAGGTGCCATGTCCGCGCCCAGGATCCGAATGGGCGAAACCCTGGGCTGCTGAAGCAAAGCGGGCGAACTTAACCACTCGGCCAGGGGGCCAGCCGCAAGATGCAACATTTACATACAATGTGATAAGTGCCCTATAGACGTAAGTAATTAGGTGCTGTGGGAGGAGAAAGAAGGGAGACTCTCTCTGCCCTTGAGGTCAAGGAGGGTTTCACAGAGGAGGTGGCATCTGAGCACAAGACTGTGCAATTGGACCTATTACCACGATCACCTATTGTTAGGTTTAACCCGGGCTCGTTTTAGTTGGCAGAAGTCCGTTCACAAATCCCTTGGAAGCAGAACAACCTGTAATGTTCAGATCTAATGTTCTGCTGCAGACGTCTGGATTTCTTTTGCCTGTGTGAAGATTATTATTATGAGGGTCTCTGTTAGAGCCTTTATTTTTAGATATTTACCCTCTGATAGCTTATCATGGATCAGTCTTAAATGTTTGGGCTGTCAGTAATGACAAAGACAGCTTCTTGACCTGGCTGTAAACCTCTAATATTTTCTTAGCATAAAAATCCCTGGCTAATCTCAGTCTGGAGCGAGGGGGTGGATAAGAACTATAAATGCTTTTAAAGCATCATTTAGTAAGTCCTTCAAATAATGAGGGGTCAGAATCGTTTTCCAAGTGCAGTTGCGCTTCCGGTCCACTAAAGTTGGCGTTTATCTATCTTTTATGCCTCAGAGAGGGTTGCCATCCCTCGATCTTTTCGGAAACCTATCAGCAGGTCTGGCTCCTTGACTAGAACAAGTTACTGGTCACGTACGTGACGTCTGGAGAGAAAGGAAATGCCGCGGCGCCTCATCACCTCGGCAGAGTTGTCCTGCCGGGATCTGCGCCTTTGCCAGCTGACTGCGTGTGCGCACACACTTATGGGAACACTTGTGCACCTGTGACCCAAGCGTCCACCCTTGTGTGGACATTTATCTGACAGTGATGATCATTGAAAGCCAAATTGGCCCAGTCAATCACTTGGTCCTACAAAAATAAGGCAAAACAAAGCATAACAAAACAAAATCTTCCTGAATGATCAGGAGTACATGGAGAGTTCTTCAGAACTCCCGGGAGCTGTAAATAGCTTCCAGCCTCAGGAGGTAAATGAGCTCACAGCAGAGCTGAGAAATAGGGAAAGAATGGCCACTGTGGTGAAAGTGTCACACTGGGAAAGGGAAATACAGATGAACCACCATGGAGATCAGCAGAGGAGGACTCCCTGCTCTAGGGGTGTTGGGAGGAGATCAGCAGAACTCTCTGGAAGAGGTGGCCTTTGAGCTGGAACCGTTGGTGGATATGGACATGAAACTGGGAGGGAGGTGCTGCTGCTTGAACCAAGCAGGACATACAAGTTCAGCTGAAGTAAGGAAGACCAAGATCCCAGTGTCTTGAATGAGGCGGACGGCTGTCTCTTGCAGGAGCCGTCCAGACCTGGTATGGGGGCTCCACACACCTTCCATCTTGCTGTGCAATCCTTAGCGCACAGCTTCCGTCTCACGGAACAGATTCTCTGCTCCGGCTCCCACCACCCTGTGTGCCTTCCAGGAAGCAGCAGGAAAGGAGGAGATGTGGAGGGCTTGCCACTTCCTCTGGACACCAGTCCAGCTGTTACATATATCACTTTTTATCCCAGGCATTGGTCAGAACCGAGTCACACAGCCACGTTTAGTTGCAAAGAAAACTAGAAAATGTAACGGTTGAGGGGGCATATTATCACTAAAGCGAAAGTTTAGAAAGGGCATTGAGAGACAGCGAGTAGCCTGCCACCATCTTGTAGGAAAGTGCCCATGGGGAGTTGTTAGGGAGGATGGAGATCCTGGGTGGGTGTGTGAGGTACTGCTCAGATCTGCTCTGAGGAATAAAGGGCTTATAAAGGGCTCCTTCTATCTGCTGGGATAACAGCTGGAAGATGGGCGTCAGCTGTTGGCCTTTTGGGGAATTGCCTCCAATGAAGAAAACTGCCTTCCTCGTAGAAGACCGCATCCAATGATGGACCAGTGAGGGGTTATCCCAGTCCAGGCCTCTCACCTGGCTCAGGACAGCTCTCAGGGCAAGACCAAAACTCCTTTCTTGGGCTGCCTGGAAGCTCCTCTTCCTCTGCCCAATCCTACTTCTGTCCCCCACCTTCCACGGCTGTAGAAAAGTAGCCCCGAATAAACAGCCTACCCCCACTCTCTGCCTCAGAGTCTGCTTCCCAGGGAAGCCTGTCTGGAACAATCACCAGGCAGCTTGGTTTATCAGAGCCCAGAGTGTGGAAAGGGGAAAGGAGGGAAGTGAGGCATGACCTGGCGCCCTGGGTGAAGATTCTGTAGAGATCCTGAACCGGCGGGCATGGACTTGATTCTGCAGACAGTTGAAGCGAGTTTCTGAGATCAGGGTGATGGAAGCTGTCTGGCAGCAGAAGATAGACGGATTGCGGGTGAGAAGCAGGAGGTGCACAAGTCAGCTGGACACTAGGGCCATAGCACAGATCGAGGATAATGAACAACTGAGCCAGGGCTTCAGCCACACGAAAAGGAGCGGAAGGACTGGATGGCACAGGTGGAGTCAACAGAGAGGGGCAGCAGTGGTGGGAAGCAAGGGCTCGGAAGGTCAAAGGGAAAGGCCAGTGACTAGGGTGACAGAGACAGTCTCAAAGAGATCCTGAGTTAGGGGGCCAAGATGTGTCCCCTTTTGGATCTGTTGGACTTGAGGGGCTTGAAGGAAATCTGGGTGAAGGTGTCCAGCAGGCTTTTGAAATGAGGATATAAGACTCCTTAGAGGGGTTAGGATGGAAATATTTCCTTGAGAACCGTCTACAGATGTGATAATTTAAGCCATCAAATTAGAGGCAGTTTCTCAAGGAGGTGTCACAGAAAGAGAAAGGAGGGAGTGTGGGAGAAAAAGGGCCGAAGAGATTGGGAAGAGGTTGGGAAGAAAGGCAGCAGACGAGGAAGGTTACCTCTGGAGCTCGGCGCTGTGCGCTGACAGATTACTGACAGCAGAACTGAGTCCTGTCGTCCCAAGAACAAAACTCAGCAAGAAAGGGTGAATCTGATCTCCCTGCTGTAGCCACGGTTCCAACTGGTAGGAAATCAACAAGGGCTTTCCATGAAGGGCAGCGTACAACTTGATTACCATAAACCTTGGGAACTTCACTAGGATAGCTGAAAAATCTTTGAGGGAAACTGGGATGTCCACACTTGAAGAAACTTTTGACACTATCTCTGTGTAGCAAAAGAATATATTTTTTAAAAACCCTATTACTTCCATTCCTATACCCATAATTACACTTTCTTTAGTCCAAAACTGAAATTATAAGCATTTGGCATTCCGTTTCAAGAGATGAGAATGATACCCCTATACTTATAAGAAGCCAAATATCACTTTATCAGCAGAGTAGTTGTTGACTGATAACATCACGGTAGGTCTCCACAGGAAAATACTACTCCTGGGCCGCCATGATGTAAGTGCAGGTGATCCGCATAAGGCGGACACAAGAAAGTTGGTCATTGTTCTTGAGTCTCAAAATTACATTCTCAGTGCCACGCAAAGAAGAGGTAAGACGCTTAAGACATTTTATCAGGCCTTTAGTACTTTGAGAAACGTGAGTCGAACGTAAGAGACAAAAGGAGCCCATCCCAGAAGAAAGTCCTGGTTCCAAGTAGTCAAAGTGGCTCTGTATTCCACTGAGCTCTCAGAAAGCCATATCATCTCAGCTGTCTGGGTGATGCATTGCCTAGAGCCCCATTTCATTAGCTACAACCAGAAATGAAGAAATAAATTTTCTTTATTAAAGTTAAAAAACTATGAGAAAGCCTTATACTCAAATATTTATGTGAGAC